ATTTCTAAAGACGACGATAACAACTGCTGTGTAGCAGAGCCTCCCACTCTTCGCTAAGCTGTCGCAGTACAGTGTCCTAGAAGGGGGCAGTGGAATGAAGGAGGCGGCCGCGCCACATCTCGGCTGATTCTCCGGCGGGTGACAGTAGCGGTGGCGCTGTTGTCTCATGATACTGAACATCTCAGGAGTGCCTGCATTGGGAGAGGGCGGACCATAGCCTAGGAAATCGTGTAGTTGCTCATTTTCAGCACGTTACATGCATTTCTGAGCCTTTATCAGTGGATGCACATGCTCCATCTCATGGTGCACGAGTGAATATGCAGGCACGCCGAAATTGCGCCATTACATTCTCTGTCGCAGAAGCCTTCAGACTCACAAAAAAAAAAAAGTCAATCAGAATTTGCACGGATCCGCCTAGCTTCTCAATCAAGCAGTGCTTTGAGCTGTGTTACATCATAAGTGGCTACTGCTGAACTACAAAGAGAGGGAAAGTATCAAAACCACGATTAAATCATATGCTCGTTTTGTCGGCAGTATCAACGTATCCAGAGCACAGTGTTCCTTTTATAAGCTTACATGCGTTCGATTGTTTTACGGGAAACCTGAGTACAAGTAACGTTATCACAACATATACATTGGTGACGACTCAGTTTTATCATGCCAGTTTTGCGAAATATAGTGATTGTTGCTTTCTGAAAGGCTTATTCCATATTAAACATAATAAAAACAACACAAAAGCACATTGAAATGGACCAATTGTATATATATAGACCATCTGATAATCTGCCTAAATTCATTGCAACCAGTTTTCATTTTATATCGACAGCTTTAATTGGGCTGCTTTCCAAATATTCTATTGGCGTAATGCCATTGCGAGCTAGCAAACTTATGATGATGTTTTGTATTATAAGCGTAGTGCTAATATTAAGTGTAATAAGTGTAGACAGGCAGTGCTGCATCTTTTCTGAAGCAAGTTTTATATGTACACAGTAAACACACACACACACACACACTCATATATATAATGAGATCTAACAGACAGTAATGCCAAGGAATGTACAGGGGAAGTTATTAGGACCAATGGAATGTAAAATAGAAGAAAGAAAAGCGGGTGAAGAAATAACCAGCCGCTCACTTAAATAGGAAATAACCAGCCTGCTCACGGCTGGTTATTTTTTCACCCGCTTTTCTTCTTATTTTACATTCCATTGGGTCTAATAACTTTCCCTGTACATTCCTTGGCATTACTGTCTGTTAGATCTCATTATTATTTTGTCAAAACACGGAAAAAACCAGCCCTTAGGTATACACTTCTTTCCCTTATTCATTAACCAGGGTCTCGTACTGGCAGACTTGGTGTCATTAGGTTGTATACGAGGGACTATTAATCAGCTGCCCGCTCGTAATAAGTTCACGTGCTACGTGACGCCACACATGCACATAAAAGAGCGTTTCACACTCGTCGCTTGGCTTATAGATGGCGCTGACTGACACTCCTACTTCTAAATTCACATATAAACCCAAAAAAGTGGACGGAGGGAAGGCCGCTGTGATAGCGCAGTGGTTAGAGCATCGAACGCGTTATTCGAAGGTCGTAGGCTCATTTCCTGCTCACGGCTGGTTATTTTTTCACCCGCTTTTTTTTCTTCTTATTTTACATTTTATTGGTTCTAATAACTTCCCCTGTGCATTCTTTGGCATTACTGTCTGTTAGATCTCATTATTATTGTGTCAAAACACGGAAAAAACGAGCCCTAACACTTCTTTCCCATATATATATATATATGTAAAATATGTACACACACACAAGTACACGCATTTAAGTCAGCAACACCGCCCCATTAGCAATATCCATGCAATGCCCCTTAGCACAGATTCTATTTTTAGGCAGTGCATTTCTAGTCAGACTACGTTACACTTAAACTAGTTTTAAGACGTTATACTGTCGAAAAGGTGAAATTTATAGTGCGCATTTGTACAGAGACACGCTATATTCAGCTTCGTCAACTGTAAACGTTGGACGCAATGCTACCTAGAATTTTTTTTTGTTTTGATGGGCAGGGGGGGGACAGCAGCAGAACGACTAACTTTGCCAATTGGTGGTTGGTGTCAATGCGTGTAAATATTTTAGTATACCCTCAAAAGTTAAATTATGAAAACATTTCGTGGTGTAGGACGTTCAGATTCCCTTCCTCTCACCTCTTTACTTATGGCTTCCTGGTTCTGCGCGCGTTTCACACGGTATTTCAGCTTTCTGAGCACAGCTAACTTCCAATAAAGCGGCTCAGGTATTTTGAATATTGTAGACGACTAACCAACGAAGAAAGATTTAACACAGAAGAAATCATAATAAGACATGCGCTTTCTAAATAATTTTTTATCTCTCACAAGGGCTTTTTTGGAGCTCAAATTCAGTAAATTGGTATTTAATGCTTCAAGGGCTATGGTATCATGCGTTAGACATGACATCAGGCAGAAACAAAGAAATCTGCATCAAGAAAGCGCGAAGGAGGAGCCGAAGCGCATAGCAGTTCCTGCACTCAGTGCGCGGCTCTTTCAGTACTATTCGACTGCAGCGGCGCCGCTACAGGCAACGCGGAAGGGATTAGGCAGCAAGGCGCGGTCATGCCACTCAACACTTCTAGTAGACTCTAGCCACAGCATGGCCAGCACGTGATGAGAAAGGAGGAGCGTCTTCATCCTGAAAGAGGCAGATTGGTATTTCAGAGAAAACCAACACTCCACGGCCGCTTTTATTTTTAAAGACGATAGTTTTTCTTGGGTACCTTCGACAAGAAAATTTTGGTCTGTCTGTTTGTACATTTGTCTGTCTGTCCGTTCTTAACGGTATCGGGTACTTGAAACAGTCGACCCCATCCGTAGTGCCCACCAATGTTGCTCAAGATTGAGCGTTCATGCTTATGCAATTGTCAACTAAAAAGCAAATATTGCGCATGTCTGGGGCACCATAACAACACGTATATATTCTGCATGTGGGTTTTTTACTAGAAAAGACATACATAAGTAATTTTAAGGACCGTAGCGCTTATCACGTTGTGGCGACCATGCAACATTTGCACGAAAAGGCGAGTGTTTTCGACGCTTTGCTAAGACAAGACGGTGGTGACACCTACCTGCCGCCTTGCTTTCTACACCTTATCACCTCTGAGATGGGCGCGCACACCCGTTTCAGAGCCCTCAGAGCCACGCGCTTTGTTATCTAAGAAAACTGCCAGATGGCGCTCATGTCTCACGTGTGACGTGATGATGCGTTCGCCTCCGCTGCACGCTCGAGGCACTTTAACCCAGCACCTCCGGAATACCATTCACCGATTTTCTTGTGCAGAACATCAAATAAATGTCTTGTTCACTCTCCACACGCAAGACAATCGTCTGTCAACAACATCTGCAGATTAACATGCAGATACGGTGTCAATTTTTTTTTTTGCTCTCTTCGCACGCGTCCTTGAAATGAGAACGGTTATGTGGCAGGGATGGGAAAGGGGGACATGTGAGAGATTTCCCCCCCCCCCCCCCCCCGAGGTGCAGAGCCGTGCTCCCGCAAGGGGCAAGGGCTGCGCAAGATAGTGCCTTTTTTCTTTCCTTCAACCACACATTCATTCAACCCAGCAACAGCTTTCTTTTTTTTTTTCCTCTCTCTCTTCGCGCATGCCGTTGGAAAGAGAAGGGTCTCTACGTGGCAGGGATGGAAAAGGGAGAAGTGTGACACGGGCGTGTCGCAGATCGGCATTTGAGAGAGAGCAAACATTCCACCGTAGCGTTTTCTTTCCTTTTCATTTCCTTTGTGCGCAGCGTTGAAGTGTCGCAGGTGCCGCTGCGGGATCGGGTGGGGTGCTGAGAGCATTTTCGCAGCGCGGTATGTTCGAATTACCTATCGCAAGTTCTTGTGCGTTCGAATTACCGGGTGTTTTCACCTATTAAAATACACATCGCTTTTACGGGACCTCATCGCGAGTTTGAATTAACCGGATGTTCAAATTAAGTGTGTTCGAATTAATGAGATTCGACTGTAATATTTTCAGTCTCCTCTCCCCAAATTTCGGTCTCTGGAGTTAGTCAAGGTTTGCCAGATCTCAAACACGGGCCCACATAGCCTACGTAACACTTGACCTTCTAATGGGTCTCTTGGTGATGGTAGTAATGTCCCATAGTGAAGTCAATCTTGATCACCATGTGAGCCCATGTGCAATATCCATTTCTTTAAAGTTTGGTCATTTTGTGCATTCTAAGAACACTTGAGTTGTTGCCATATTCACTGCCGGAAAGCCAGGGACCAATAACAAGCTGTTGTGAGAAGCTAATTTCATTGCTTCAATTGCATTTTAAAGATTATAGCCTTTCTTGGGATACTTTAATGCAAACTTTTTTATCTGTCTGGCTGTTGAGGGTGTCTGTCCAACGATGCAGCCAACCGGCAAAAGATTAAGCCCGTGCTCAAAGCCTTCCCATCTTGATCTGGTAGCTGCGTGCATGCTTGTGAACATTGTAAATCAAAGCAACAATTATGCATATTCGAGGTGAAACGTCAATATGTAAGTGCTAGGCAGTGTGTCTCTTTATGTAGAAAATGCGTAGATACCTAATCCTAAAGACCGAAGTGTTTATTATGCTGTGATGACAATGCGACGCTACGAACAAAATAGCGAGTGTTTCCTACACTGTGCTGAAAAATTCAGGGGCTTTAACTAAAGCGACCCAGTGCTGCCACCTAAAAGTAGCTCTGCATTCTAAAAACAACTTTAGTTTCTTCACACTACTGCTAGATGGCACCATATCTCACTCAGCGCCTCCAGACAGAAGACATCATTTGCAGCAAGCAAGGAGATACGTGGCCAGTTTTTTTTTTTTTTTTTGCATCCATGCTGGAGCTTGATTTGTTTTTATTTTTCAGACTCGAGAAATGGTGAGGGGCATGCTGTGCAAGCTTAAGTGTGCGATCTGAACTGGCCTTTCAATAAGAACTGACCTCGCCCATGCAGGGCCGCAACCCATTCCTGTTTGGCTTTCCACTCTGTGATCGATGCGCGTGCAACACATCCGAGTCGCTGACTGTGGACGTCAACTGCACGGGACGGGGCCTTGAGGAGTTGCCTCTGAATCTGCCCTTGCGGGCACGTGTCTTGCGGCTGGCCAACAACAGCATCAAGTCACTCATGCTGCCCTCAAAAGGGTGAGTACTTGCAGATGTCGTCAAGTGAAACTTGTGTCGCCTCGTGAATTGTCATTAAAAGTGCCACCACAAAACAATCCAGTGCCCCGCAGTTGTATATGAATTCATCGTCATCATCAGCAGCAGCCCGACTACGTCCACAGCAGGGCAAAGGACTCTCTCGTGATCCGTCAATCAAGCCGGTCTTGTGCTTTCCTTTGTAACGTTATACCTGCGAACTTTTTAATCCCATAGGCGCATCTAACTTCCTTTCTCCACTTCGTGTGTTTGCCTTCTCTGGGAATCCAGTCAGTTACCCTGAATGATCAGCAGTTATCCTGCCTATGTGCTATATGACCGGCCCATGCCCAGTTTTTTTTCTCCACTACAATGATGATATCCTTTACCCCGATTTGGTCCCTAACCCACTTTGCTCTCTTCTTGTCTCTTAAGCTTACACCTATCATTTTCCTTTCCATCACTCGCTGCGTCGTCCCCAATCATAAGCGGAACCTTCTTTGTAAGCCCCCAGGTTTCTGCCCTATAGCTAAGTACCGCCAAGATGCAGCTGTTATATACCTTCCTCTTGAGGTATAGTGCCTATCTACCAGTCATGATTTGAGGGTGCTTTGCGAAATGTGCTCCACCTCATTCTTATTTTTCTAGTTACTTCAATCTCTTGGTTCGGCTCTGCGGTTATTACCTGTCCTAAGTACACGTACCCCCCTATTCACAAACGCTCGTCGACTCGACTTTCTCTCTTCACTAGACAGAGTTGCACACTGCGCCACTGCTCAGCTGAAAATGACGCTGCGCTACTCAAGAATTGCAGCAGATTATTACTGATAAGCAGTGGCTTGCCCTGCCTAGAGATGGCTCTCCCATCGTTTTTCTCAAGTGAAGGTGGAGCATTGAGTGAAGGGGCATTCTAGAATACAGGAGGTATTCTTTTAGAACTTCAAGTGCACTATTACCTATCTCTAAGCACTGTTCTTTTTTGAGGTTATTGTACATTACTTTCGTTTTCTGCAGATCAATTTTTAGACCTTTTCTGTTTCCGTGTCCATTTACTAATCAGGAGCTGTAATTCGTCCTCTGAGTTACTCATCAAGGCAATGTTATGAACGTATTGCAGGTTACTAAGATGCTCTCTATTAACTCTTATCCCTAGCTGTTTCCAATCTAGGGCCCTGAAATACTGCTGTACACATGTGGTGAATAGCATTAGGGTGATCGTTCCTCCCTGCCTTACACCCTTTATTGGGATTCTCTCGCTTTCTTTATGGAGAAGTATGGTGGCTGTGGATCTGCTGTGGGTATATGCGCCTACATCGAGCCATGATGATTATTTGGTTGAACGCTTCTACAAAGACGTAAAGTTGGCCATTAATAAAGTAAAGGTATAATATACTATACAGATGGGCAACTTTAATGCCAAAGTAGGCAAGAAACATACCGGAGACCATGCAGTGGGGGAATTTCGCATCGGTTCTTGAAATGGCAGAGGGGAGTTATTTGTAGAGTTTGCAGAACGTACCGTATTTACTTGCGTAATCCTCACACTCGCATAATTCTCGCACCCCTTATATTGCCCAACAAAAATACGATTTATTTTTTTCCTCGAGTAATCATCGCACCCCCGAAAATTTCCGCAACAATGTCGTCTGCTCGTTTCAGCCACTGATGATGATAACGTGTGCCATCTGCCGCCATCTCCTAAGCATAGAGCGTACTATTATTGCCCCGCGATTCAACCAAATCCAAGCCAAGCCAAAGTGGCAAGTGGGCATTGCAGCGTGTTTTGTATGATGTGTTCGTAATGTTGTTACGTTATGGGGCGATACGGAAGCTACACGGCTGTTTTCAAGTTAAAAGTGATTGATCATGCACTAAACAACAGCAACAGGGCTGCCGGTAGGCCCTGCAAAGTAGACAAGTTTTGTGTTCGCTACTTGTGACGGCAGCTGAAAGCCACCCAGACGTGTTGGGCCTTCCGTGTGCCTAAGACTGGGATTGGTGGTAAATTTTATTTCTTCAGAAGGGAACTGCGGACGATTCTGTTAAATAGCCATTAGCCCAATACTGACGTCCTATGCTTATCTTTTGCGGGCTCTTTTAAGCGACGAACGGTACTGCTACGCTCGCAACGCCCACAAGCTTTGCGTACGCTATTCTAATTCTCGACTATTTGCTTGGGCCTTTTGTGTCTCAAATAAATCTTGCCTTGTGTTGAACCTGGTTTTTTATTGTTGAGGTAAGTTTTAACTCTTTCCTTACCGCCAGGAAAAGACCCCGTTTTCATGTGGTTGCAGAAAAAAAAAGTTTATCGTTATGGCACCCCCCAACTTTTCAACGGTTTTCTGCTAAAAAAAGTGCAAGGATTATGCGAGTAAATACATTAATAACTTACCGATCTTGAACTCCTTCTTCAGAAAATGAGCTAACCGTAAGTGGACGTGACGGAGTCCTAATGGAAAAACTAAAAATGAGTAGGCTTCATTCTGTGCGCGCACCCAGACATTGATCGTACAAGATGTAGAAGTAGTTGGCAAAGGCAAGGTTCTGTTTGGCGTCTCATATTTCAGTTGCCAGACTTTGGGGTGGCTGTTGCCAGACTGCTGCCAGATTTTGCAAAGAAATTGGCCCCTGTAGTTGTGGCTTTTTCGTGAGGGTTTGGTGTCGTTTGTGATGCATTGCGCAAGTGCGTGAGCTATGTTGGTCATTTTGATTAATGGAATGAATATGAAAAACGTGTTGCAGAAGTCGGGGCACTATCACTTTTCTCTGTGCGCTGCTGTGCCAGTCCAGGTTTGCGGTACGCGCGAGTCACACGTTTTGTGGCATATTTACATAGCTAACTATCCTAAAAGTTCAACAGTACACATAAAAAATTGTTGCACAGCAAAAAAAAAAAAGTTATCACTTGTGATTACGGGACAATTTTCTGAGGGTGCAAGAAAAAAAATTTTATCCGCAGATAAAAAATATTTAGATGCTCTGCAGCCCATGAAAATGTAGAGGAATGAATGGTCTATTTATTTCAATAAATTTAGAAGAAGTTATTATTACACAGTAAGAATAAAAAAATAACAAACAAAAAAATTCTCAAGTACACAATTTTTTTTTTCAAAAAAAAAGTGGGTGTAACAAGCGAAAAGATGGCAATACAAATTCTGAATATACATTGGTTAGGTAGTAGTTGCTTCTAAAGACCACAGAGGTTACAAGAGTACACGTAAATAACTGTGAGACCACACAAAAATGTTTTATCTCTTGTGGTGGCGGTGCCACTCACCAAAACAGTCTCTGGTCGCGATGAAGCACAAGTAAACGCCACACGTTTCACAAAAGATGCTCGTCTTGTGCTCAACCTTGCGGCTCGCATAGCAGAACTTGCAGTTGCGCCTAGTTTCCATCACTTTTGGCTTGTGCGCAGACTCTCGAGGGGGAGGGGCGCTGCCAAAACCTGTGGCTTCAATTTCCAGTAGCTGCTTCACAAGCTCCATTCGGAAGGCAAGCTGGTCGTAACGAGGCGCTCGGTGCAGTTCTAGAATTTCGGGGTGCTCTCTCCTATGGGCCTCAAAAAGAATAAAACTGTTCACAACAGCGATGTCGATGCAGGGGAAGAACAAAGTTTTCCACCACCTGACGCACTTCATCAACACATTGTACGATGCGATGAGCTGGTCTGACCTGTCTACTCCAAGCATGCCTGCATTATATTCTTCAACTAGTCTTGGTTTCCTAATTGGGACCTTCTTCCATTGGCCAGCGACCTTTAGTTTTCTTGTTGCAGTCACATGGCTGTTCGCAGTATGGGCGGTGCTCATCATGTGCACCACGCGTCTGTCCTTCCATTGAAGATACAGGACGCCTTGATGCCGCAGCCAGCGAACATCTCCCCTCTTGGCCTTTTTCTCCCATGTGGAGTCCTTCAATTCCGCAGAGAACGTGCGACGATCCTTCCGTGTCGTTCCACAAGCAAGAGTCTTCCGCTCCAGGAGGTATAAAAAAAGAGACGTGGACGTGTAAAAATTGTCCATGGATAGTGTGTATCCCTGGTCAAAATACATTTCACACAGGCTAGTCACGACATCAAATGCGAGTCCATTTACGCTCGGTGTCTCACGCTTCCCGGTGTAGACACTAAACTGCACTGTGTAGCCGGAATCGGAGTCGGCGAGGACCCACAGCTTGTATCCCCACTTGACAATCTTGTCGCGAAGATACTGTCGTATTCCCGAACGGCCTTTGGATTTCACCATTCTTTCGTCGACGGAAATGTAACGGTCTGGCTGGAAATGGAGCGCAGATACATCATTGATGTGCCGAAGTAAAAAAGCAATTCAATGCAGCTTGCCGTCTGTAGCGGGAATGGTAGCTTCATGATCCGTCACGCTCAGCATACCGAGGAAGGAGAAAAAACGTTTTCTTGGTATAACCCCACGTGGGATTAGCCCAGAAAACAACTCTGCTGTGCTCCAATAGAGGTGCAGGCGAGGCAGTTGCACTATCCCCATGTAGATGAGGAGTCCGATGAATTTCATCATTTCATCTGGGGAAACATTTTTCCACGATCCGTCGCGTTCCGAGTACGTTGGTTCCTCGAGAATGTGCACCCAGGCGTATTTATTTGTGATCTCGCACATCGCTGTGACGAGTTCCGTTGAGAAAAACAGCAAGAAGAAATCCAGGGCTCGAAGAAACCGACTAGCGCTGCTCCATCGCGCCATGCCCAGATCGACTCCCGGTTTCTGTCTTGGACAAAACTGCACGCGCTGTGCAGCGGGAGGCATTGAATCGCGCCCATAGGACGTAGAGACCCTGCGGATAGAGATAATAACTGTGACAACACGCTCGGTCCCCTCGCAGGCGCTCAACAACGCGATAAATCCCGTAAAAAAACTCACCGTCGAGCTGACGATGACGTTCCCGGTGTGTTGAGGGCCTCATCGCTGTCGGTGCTAAACTCCGATGATAGGGAATCTTCTTCAGAGCCACTGCTCAGCTGAAAATGACGC